TCATGAACTTTCTGAAGACCCCACAGACACGTTCTAAAGCTTAGTGTCTGGCTCAGTATGCATGCTACCTGTGCAGCGTGTTTGAAAGAATGATCTCCTTTGTGACCCTCAGTTTCTTCCTCTATCTGTGAGATGAGGACACAGTAGCTACTTAGCTGACTCATACTGGCACTGAATAAGTCAGACAAGACCAGGTATATGACGGGAATGGCAAAAGCATTACACAAGGTAAGAGATGAGGGAAGTGAAGGAAGTAGTTCAGTTGACTAGGGCTCTGCAATGAGACAGGCAAGGATTCAAACTGTGGCTCTCTCTCACCAACCACTCCTACCTCAGTGTCCTTCTATGTAAAATGAACACAATGAGATACTGCAAAGTGCTTAGAACAATGCCACATGCAGGGTAAGACCAAGAAACACTCATAGCTACTACAGGTTGAATATCCCTTATCTGAAATGCTGGAGACAAGAAGTCCAGATTTCAGGGTTTTTTTTTTTTTTTTCAGATTTTGGAATATTTGCATAGATATAATGAGATCACTTAGGGATGGAACCTAAGACTAAACATGAGATTTATGATTCATGTGTACCATACACAAATCCTGAAGGTAATTCTGTATGATGTTTGGGTATTCAGAGTTTTGACAGTGACCCATCAAGTGGAGTCAAATGTGGAATTTTTCATTCATGGCATCACATTTGGTGATTTCATCACAAATGTTTAGACTTTGGAGCCTTTCAGATTGGGATATTCCTCCTGTCTTACAATTTCTTTTATTTTCACAATTAGTGGCTTTAATGTTATCATCATGATTGACCTCATGGGGATCCCTCTTTCCTTCCCATCCAAGAAACCTACTGCCTCAAACCACCACTGGTTTCCTTGGTGAAGCTCAAGGTAGTTTTTACCTTTAAGATAAATCCTTCACCTGTTGATGATGACATGTACAGTATTCTCAACTGGATTGGACTGAAGTATTTCATGATGGGTAGTCTTTTTACAAGCAAAATGAGAAATAGTGATAGACTGTTTAAAAAAAATAATTAATAATAATAATGATTGGGAAAAACATTGAAAAGATATTGAATGATGAAGTGGGGAGATTAATGTCTATGTATTGACTGACATGCATGGCATTCCCTTTTTTTTTTCCCAATTTATTTATTTGCATTCATTCACTGTACATCATTACAACATACAAAATGAGATTTTCCATCTAGAGTACACTGTATATTGTCTCAATCAAGCACATCAACAAATATGTTATTCTTAGCAAATGATCTCCCATTTCTTGTTTTCTGTATGTTTTGCTTTTTCCCCCCATCCTTGGTTCCCTATCTCTTACCCTCTGCCACCTCCTGTTCTCCTCCCACACTGTCTCTGTTATCTATGTTTGCTTTCTATACCATTTCCCCCCCACATTTTATTGAATCACCAAAGACCCTA